TGTGTTTTCCCTAGTGTAGTTTGAAAGAAATCCAGTCTTATTTGCATCATTACGTTGCCTAAACCAAAACCTTGAGCATGAGTAGAGGTAGATAAGTGAAAGCTTAATACACTGAAAGAATGAATTTAGTCTTAAAATCTCTAACCCTCAGTGATTGTCAAGTACCAGATTAAAATGCATTTACTGCCACAGGAACACTTAGGGAATCCCACAGCTTCACTTCTCTGTTGTGTTTATGTAAGCACACTGCACTAAAGATAGCTATTGCACATTCACTTCATTTTTCCCCTTATCCTCATCTATCAAAATGAATTAAACTTGGCATGTCAAACCTGCGCTACGAGTTCCCATGGATTTCAGGAGAGCCCCTAACATGCTATTTTTTTTCCTCCTCAAACACGGCAGTGACACTGATGGAAGTTTTATAATTTGTGGCAATTATTAGGTCTGCAGTCTGGAGACATGACACATACCCTGACACCTGTTTTTGTAATGTGCGTTGATTTTCACTGTCACAAGACTGAGTAGTGAGACGGCAAATGAGGCAGACAATTACATCAACGCACCCTCCAGTCAATCTCAAAGTTTTTGAAGGTGCTTAAAATGGATGTGTAATAAAATTTATGCTCTGCAGAGCATACGTCAAGGTTACATCGCCTATAAATTATGGCTGTATGCTATTGTGGAAAAGAACATAGAACTGTTGTCAAATGATAAATTATACCCTTGTATTTTTTTTTTTATATTAGAAAATTAAATATGGTAAAAGGCTTAAGTGTGATATTTGCCAGTGTGAATGAAATCAGTTTTTCTGTTCATCAAAATAGCACTGTTTTAGGAAGTTGTTTAATATGCTGTATATTTTATCTGGAAGGAATTTTGCTGAATCCTGCATTTTCCCTGGGCCATGCTGTGATTTTCACTTGTTTTTTATGGTATACATATACTCGCATGCGACTATTGTTTCATAGGAAAATACTATGAACTGAATCAAGGTTTCTCCTTTCTCCTAAAAGCATTTTCTTTAAAAACACTTAACTACTCTAAATGACATATTTTTAGTCCTGTTGATTTCTGCAGAGATGTTCTGGCACTCATCGACCGTGTCTCTTCGTTTGTCTCTCTGTTTCAGACATCACTCGCCACCAGGTTTGCACAGGAGGCTTTTGGGAAGCAGTACAAACAAACCCTCGGTCTGGATTTCTTTCTAAAGAGAATAACCCTTCCAGGTGAGACACTTTCATAATCTTTTGGGAGTACTCGCTTGTTCGGAGAGAGCGTGGACACGCGTGTTGCGCAAGCACTTAGTGGCAGACTGCAGACTTGTTGTTTCAATGAAATACTTGGGATATGTATTTGGCAAGATTATACTGGCTCAACTATTACTGTGTTTTGTGTGCATTTAACATTATCTATGTAAAATAGACCCATTATATTAATTGAAAGTTTCACAAAGAAGCCTGTTGTTCCACTTCCTGTAATATTTCTACGTCTGAAATTTTCTTGTTTTCCATTTTTCCAGGGAGAATTTATTTCTCAGGTCAACCCAGGAGCTGAATGTCGCTTTTCTGGTAGCTCCTCATTGTAGCGCGTCTGCCACTTCTCAGCTTTATTCACTCTGAAAGCTCTTCTCTTCGGAGCGAATAGCATGCTTTTTAAAATTCTTTTTTCTTTTTTACTTCACAAGGCCGTTGGACAGTTTATGTCCAAACGGGTGAGCCCTGCTCATAATCCTGTGGGCACAGTACAGAGTAAATACATTAAACATTTTATATCCATATCACCGATCCCCAGGTTAAACTGATCTGCATCCTGCACCACATAAAACATTCATGCCCTTATTTTTTTTATAATGAATCCACAGAAATAAAGCCACACTCTGTATCCCCCTTAGATCTGTAAAATAAATGTTTGACTCGTACTATATTTAGATGAAAGCACTCCATTTTTACTTCCTACCATGTGAAATGGGGATTTTCAGTATTTTAACTAGTATTTCTTAAACTCTGCCAAGGTCTGAGGTCCAGAATTCTGCTAAGTGCAAACGTGAATGATTGCTATTAACCGTTTGACTTTTCTTTCCTGAAATAATCACTGATCTCGAGTGTTAAACCGTAAGCTTTGTTTAAATATAATGTTCATATGTCTGTACCAGTGGCGCAGCACCAACACTGGGTTCAACACCAGGCTTGTAAAATGGTCAATTTTTTTGAGGAATTGGGTGTTGATGAGCTGATGAAGAGGAGGGTGGCTATGTGAGCTCGGCGTTCCCAATTTCATTAGGACCCTGCCTGGACCCACCCTGCCTTATACTGGAGAGGTTGTATGGCTCTCTGGGTCACTGTGGGGCTGTAAAGGGTCTCTTGCAGCAAGGGGAGAATAGCCTATAGTCAACACTGGCCCCTCTCACCATGAAGGCCCAGCTTGTCAAACTTAATGTAGATTTTCCAACACAGGGAGAGGTGAGGCGAGGCCGACTGGCACACAACAGCCTCCTGTGTGTGTGCTTTTTATAACAATGCCTCTTCCAGATGTCAGTGCCAAACCAATGAGGTCCAGGCAGTGAAGGGAACAGACTATAGGTGAAATTTACTTGATAAATTCTGTCAAACTCTAACTTTCGTAATCTGCGCCGACCTGACACCAGGAGGACGATCATCATACGCCTTGGTTTGTCTCACAAACGCCGTCTCTCCTTCTCACAGACCCTAAGCAGAAGAATGTCCATGCTGTTGAGTCAGCGTGAATCTATGAAACATAAATAAAGCTGGTGTCTGAGCAGTGTGGATGGGTGGGGATGGCTCTTTATGACACCGAGGAACCGTTATTCATTGCACTCCACAATGTAGCTTTGCATTGACACTGTATAGTCTAGATGTAGTGACGTGAACCTCAGTGTTTCCTTCCCTTGCTTAAAAAAGGGGACTTGTGAAGGGGTTGAGTCGTCCAGCCATGTCCACAATGTACGCTCTGCACGCCATCGCCGCTCCAGCCCAACGCAGGGCCCTCATCACACCAACATAAACTCCTCGCTGTCTGGTCCTCCCTCCTCCTCTTTTTTGAGTTTTTTTTCCAACCACCCCTTTTCATTTTCCAGAGGAAGAAAATATTTATTTGGATTTGGTTTTTGTGCCCGTCTTTCTCCCCCTCTCATTCACTCTTTCTTTCTCTTTCCACAGGCACAGGGACAAGAGTCTTCTTTTCCTCTTATTTTGTGTTTAATTATTGCTATTTTCCTTAACAGCACATAATTCTCCTCACTCTCCTAACTTGGCAGAATATGGCACAGGCTAATAAGAAGTCTTTTTCTTAACTTTCAGGGAATTGAGAATGTTTAAATTAGAGGGTAAGTGTACCTATTCACCCCCCCCTCAGTCTCTGGGCTGGATATTCTTGGATGTGAGGTGTGGGTGACCTGCCATGCAAGACCACGTAACATGAAAGATTAATGGCTTATTGTTTCAATTAAGTATATCAACAACGCCAACTTTTATTGTAGAATTTCCTCACCCAAAAGACAGGATCCAGTTACAGCTGAATCATTATTTCCTCAGGATTATGAGCTTTGCTAAAGCAAACAAGTTAATGATTAAAATGAACAAAAACATCCAGAATGGAAACTTAGAATGGCAGTGCTCATTTTGATTATTTTTATTTAATTGATTATCAGAGAAATCACAAGTCTAAAGTCTGAAACATCTGTGCTCCATTTATCAGAGGTGATTTGCACATTGTCATTTAACTATCAGCCCTTTGTGACATTGATGGTATTTATTTCTTCTACTCTGTAGGAAATTTGAATGTGACTCTACAGGTGTGGGACATTGGGGGCCAAACATTAGGAGGAAAAATGCTGGATAAATATGTGTATGGAGCTCATGTAAGTTGACAAATTCACTCTAAATGCATCTCTGGTTTGCACTACAGCTTCCTCCTTTTACTCCTCCTACATGAAGCAAAACAATGATTGTGTCTGACTCAGCCTCAGGAAGGACAGGGGATCTGTAAATGTACAAAGCAAATGTTACACGATTGTCACTATGGTGAAAACAAAACAGGACGAATGCAATTCCCTAATAGTCCTGTACTGAGGACACTAGTCGGGCTTATTATTACAGTCTCAGCTGCTTCATTCAGAGCCTGCCACTCCCTCCCTCTGGAGCCAAATCATAATAAACTGTCATTTGGATTCATAGTGAGCACAGCAGGTCAATCGAGCTTTAAAGATCAGCGTATCTCTACTTTTTACGGAGTTTGCTGGTTTGTGTCAAACTGAACAAATGTTGATAAAACTGTATACTGTGGCCAAACTACATTCTTAAAAACACTTTACTCCTAATTTGTAAATGTATGCAAATTTAGATCCATTAAAAAATGCGACACAAATTACTTAAAGTTCAGGCTAAGTAATGTCGAGTGTTTGATAACACTTGGCTTATAGATGAAAAGGCTGAGGGGAAAATAGGTTAATAAATGAGCTATTTACTCTCACATTATCATTTAGTTTAATGTACCAGAGTGTAATGTACCAGTAACATCAGCGTCCATGCAGCTGTAGATGAATACTAACTGTTACATCCAGAATACATATTGTTTTGAAGAAGCTTACTTAAAAAACGTGGTTTGTCTAATTGGACATTCACTGTGCAGTACAACACCTAACATTTGGGCACTAGTCACCATATACCAGCTACTGTATATGCAAGTACACTTTTGCCATATTTGTCAGTAAAAGCCAGACAAACATTAGTTGGAGGGTCTTTCTCTGTTCTATGGAATATGAGATATACATACAGGAATTTCCCCACTGTGGGATCAATAAAGTCCTACCTACCTACCTACCTATGAATCTGCTTTAAAAGTAGTGGGACATTTTCTGTGCCTGTAATGTGTACATTACTCCTGCCTGCCTCTCTCCTTCACAAACAAAATGTCGTAACTGACTGCCACACCGCTACACTTGGCATCGCAGTGTGGCACTTTGCTTCTCTCGTCTCGTTTCTCTTTACACACTGTATCAAATTTTAACACCCATTGTTCACCTCTGTGCATACTGTAATCAATCACGGCTGTTTCAGAGAGACTCACAGTAGTAAGTTATCGTCACCGACCTCGAGTGTTGTGACAGTGTGCGTCTGCTGAACAAAAAGCAACAGACACCCCTTCAGTCATGTTGCATCACGCAGGAAAAGTAGAGACATTTACCTTAGTTCATGTTCATTTTGGCTTTAGAAAACCAGCCGCTGAACTAGTGATAGGTGATAGTTTAGCTATGAGATTATTTGTCTTGAATTATGCCAGCAGCTCTTGTATGTGTGTTTATGCTTAGATTAATTTATGTGTTCATGCAAACACCTCCACCAGGTCTGAGTGTTTGTTCAAACATGGCTCTGGTTGCTGTTGCATGACTCTTTCTGTAGTGCATACAGTGGTAAAGATTATGTAGGGAGGAGGAAAATATCTCTAGGCAGACAGCCTTCATTCATTAGCTCAGACAGCAGATAACCAAACCTGACCTCTGTTCTATTCTGCACTGACTTTGGAGCGTGCTTTCGAAACTGGGAATTTAAATGTGTAAAGCACATGTGAATTGACTTAGAACATAACAGTACTAAACCTGACTCAGATTATATGTGTGAGTGAGTGAGTGAGTCGGTCTGTCCCCTATTCTAAGAAGAGGAGCACTGCCATCTACTGTTCCCACGCTCACTCAAGGTCGCTTATGTTAATATGAATATGAGGTGAACGAGTAGGAAATTAGGATCATTACTCACGTCCATTGTTTCCCAGTGGATGGATGTAAATGTGAGGTGCTCAAATGAGAGCATGGTGAGATTAATGTCGTTCCTCCTCTGCCTTTTTCCAATGCAGGGGGTTCTCCTGGTGTATGACATCACCAACTACCAGAGCTTTGAGAATCTAGAGGATTGGTTTTGCATGGTGAAGAAGGCCAATGAAGAATCTGATATCCACCCTGTTGTCTTCCTGGTTGGAAACAAAAGTGAGTATTATACATACTGTATGGCAACACATAAAAGAAACATTACAGCTTTATTTTAATTTCTACTAAGTAGCAGCAAATGAAGAGAGTTTCCCTCTATTCATTTCACCCTGCCCCATTTTTCACCGTATGTGCCTCTTTGTGTGTGAAGGAGTGTGTGAGTGTTTGATGGCAGCATATGTGTTTGTTAGAGCACCAGATAACTGATGAGTGTGATAAGCCAGTTGATGTGTGTTTTGGGGCGATGGGAATGCTGATGTTTGTGAACTCTGGGGAGTGACTTAAGGGAAGTGATTTAAAATCCTTGGGCCAACAGATCTAGGGCACTGCTTATCTGTGCCCCCTCACTCCCAGTCAGTACCCATCTGACCCCCTCAGTCCGAGCCTGGGCTCCTGTCCTGAGTCGCTGGTTAAGGAGAGGAATTGGATGTTAACCAGACGGCTCTCTTCCTATCAGCCTGCACCCATCCACCCATCTCTAAAATAAAGAGTAATATGATGACTCTTTTTAAACATTCTTTTGACAGATGTGGCTGCCGCAGTGTTATTGTAAAGTGAGGCGTTAGTGTGTGTGTGTAATGGTGACTGCCCATCTTCCCGGGTGATGATGAACGGTCAACAAAGTGGTGCCTGCACACAGGAAGCTCTCACTAATGTTACTCAACGGGGACCATAGGTCACGGTTTAATTCGCCTGTCTACCGCAGATTCTCTTTGTTTTCACATCCGTTGCATCTCCTAATGCCTCGGCTTTAACGGTGGGCGCCTGTATATTTAGGCTAGGTTTTGGGAGTGTGGGTGCTCTAATATTTAAGTAGTGTACATCCTACTGTCGAGCCCCTCACCCCCACACTTGCTCAGTAATTTTCCCCTTTATGGCTCTATCAACCTGGAATGGCCCATGTGTGTCATTTCTGTTCCTACAGGGTGGAAAAAAAAAACAGAATCCCACACAGATCACCCCACTAGGAGCAATCAATTACCTTGCAAGACTTTATTAATCTCTGCACCCTCCCATGGACTCCTTTTTTTCAGGGAGCCTGAAAAATGTTAGTCTAGGTATCTAGCTGGAAATATCTATGCCTACATTTTTGTTTTACTTTTTTCATTTCCCCTCCCTAACTTTTTTAAGTGTTGTAGCAATTTAGTCTTTTCTCCATTCTGAATACTTGGCACACATGAACAACAAGTGGAGCATGTGAATACACAGCATTCTTTTGGGAGCAGCGTTTAGATTTCTTTGTAATGGTTCCCATGATGTTGGACTGTCTGAGGCAACGTATTTGTGACAACCGAAATAGAAGTACAGACATAACAAGGAGCTTATAAAAACACTACAGATTTATGCCTCTGTGAGGGCTTGTCTTTGGGGAGACTGTGGTGTTTCACCACTCTGAATTTTTTAGCATCTCCACTTAGATAAGCTTAAGGTGAACACTGGCTGTAGATGGCACGTACATTTAGGTTAGAACAGATAGTCATACACATCCCCTTGTACTAAAAGACCTGTTACACTATTATAAAATGTTCTTTTTAACATATAGAGTCAACATAGAGACCATCATCAAATGTGAATCTCCATGGCTTTTTAACAGTACATGTGCTACTTTATACATTGAGCTTAGGTTTTCCTGAATGACCCAGTGTTCACCGTCTAGTTCAGTTTGAACACTGTCTTCTTTACCCACTAAACAGTAACTGAGCCTACGGGCCAGACTGGTTCATTAAGGATGCTGTCCTCTCCTCTCGTACCCTCGTCTCACTGCCCTCCTTGCCATGTCACTACTGGGGAACAACTTTTCCATTCTTTGGCTTAGCACGGCCGACTGGGGTTAAGTGTGCTTGTTAAGCACCAGTAAGCTGCACCCCCGTGCCCTCTACATGCTACCTGAGCCTTGTGTTAAATAATGGCACCGCTTGTAACAATTCAGAGAGGAAGCCAGTGAAATGTTTTACTGAGGGCACACATATGTACAATTATTTATGCAACTGCTTGCACACACAGACACTAGTAGATGTGCACAGAAACATGCACTTACAGTAAGTAAAGCAACACACACAGAGTTTCTGGGAATACATGGGTAATGGAAGAATGCTAAGCTCTTGGTCTGTCTAAACATACTATAACTGTTTATTGCAGTGCAGCCCAGTGTAACACCGTATGGTTGTCTCAAGACATAAAAAAAATAGGTAGTATAGAAAACAGGCCATACTATCATTTTATTTTAGTGGACTGTTAAAAGTCCTAGTCCAAATTTTGCATTTATTGTTTTTACCAACTTAAACATATTAAATGGGGCCGTCACTATTTTAAAATGACCTGCACTACTGTTCAAAATTAGTGCACATATTTCTTTGTAGACTGTGTTGTTTATCAAACAAATTTGTTTTTATTAAGTGGGGATCGCAGGACCCCTGCTCACTCCCCACCCATCACCCTTCCCATTGCTAGTGCTCTCTCCCTCAGGAACTCCAGAGCATCCATCATGGACTTGTACAGCCCTTATTTGGGTGACTTAAATGGGTTCAGTTCTCTTAACCCCTCCTCATCACTCAAGGCTTTTTGCTCAGAGGATCTAGTACTGTTCACTGGCGATCCACTCAGTCCTGCCATGGGAAAACGCTCCCTTCTGCTGGGAGTTAAGTTCCCTGCATGAAGAGAATCTGTGCACTCAATTATGTCTTACCTGCCCC